GGTGAGGGCTGCGCGTGGCTCGGACTGTCCCCCGGTGAGGGCTGCGCGTGGCTCGGACTGTCCCCCGGTGAGGGCTGCGTGTGGCTCCCACTGCTGAGCCCTGTCTGCAGCCAGGTGACAGAATGCTGCGTCCTGGCCAGTAGGGGTGCTCTTGATCCAGCTGCTGGCTTCATTTACTTGGTCAGTGGGAAAGTTACCACTTTTCAGCTTCTTTTGTGTTTATGGCAGGTTTCAGTTTATTTTAATTTGCCCTATTTTTGTCTTTTACGGGGGTTCATGTCCTAAGCTTAATGATGCCCTCAGCAAGCCTTAAGAATTTTATGTTTTCTAGGATTGTTGCAATTAGATTTCTGAAAAATTGTCAGTTCCCTGGGCTAACTTAATTCCTTCAAGTCCAGTGCTCGGGTATCTTCTGAGTACTAGTGTTGGGGTAGTGAGGTGCTGAGTAGGTGAAGCTAAAGCCGTGCTCACGCTCACCTCTGAGGTCTGTTCAGAAGAGCTGTTGGCCTGCTTTGGGGCAAGATAGAAGAAAAAAGAGGCATTTAGAAGGCAGCAGGTTCAAGCTTTGAATGGTGACCAGAGCCGGTGACTGTCAGCATTTCCCCTCTTGCCCTGCCTTTTGCCACTGACAGTGGCCATCGCTCGGTGTCTGATTGCTCAGGAAATGGCTGGCCTCGGTGGGCAGGCTGGCAGCGAGTCCCTCAGAAGGCCCCTTGCTCTGCTTCTGCAGGTGCAGCTGTTAGCAGTCTGGCAGGAGCTCTGCCAGAGTGACCTGCCCCTGGACCAGCAGCTCACTGGATTCTACGATGCCCTGCTGGGCGCTTGGCACACAGAGGTCCAGTGGTCTACACAGGTAACAGGTCGCTTGGGTTCTGGCAACAAGGGAATGGGGTGATCCCTGACACACCTGCCCCCCCCCTCCCGTGGTCTTTCTCTCTCTGGCGGGCCACCCTCATTTGCTGCCATCACCAAAGGGTTAAAAGAAGCTTCAAAACCCAGGGCAGTAAAATCCTTAGTTCCCCATTAAAACTCTTCTTATCACTTTTGTCTGTATCTTAAATGGAATCTAATGTGACAGTGTTGCTTGTTGTTCAGCGAGAGCGCCTGTGGAATTCCTGGAGGCCAATATCTTCCGATCTAAAAGCAGGAGGCTTAGTCAGGCGGTATTTGCGTGAACACGATTGTTTTTATCTTAACATTGGGTAAAATTTACCTCACCTAAATTTAGTTTCCCTTGTTCTCACAAGATGCCAAGAGCTGAGAGGAAGAGTATAATTTAAAGGCCCCTCGGACTGAAGGGTGAGACGGGAGCGCATTGTCAAGTGGGCACTCTCCCGGCACTCTCCGTGTTTTCAGCCATCGAGGTTTGAACACTTTCCCTTGTGCAGAGGGGCCCGGACCCCCTTCAGGAGGGGCAAGGGCTGCCTTCCTTCTGAGCAGGACACGGCCTGTTTATGTGTGCCTTCCCCCACCCCCCAAATTGGCTGTGAATCTCCTGTGGTCATTGGAATTTGCTGGAGAGAACCTGGCGGTGGTGGGCTCGAGCCCCTCCCCCAGGGCCTGGCCGTTCCAGGCGGTTCAGGCTCGAGTCTCCATCTCTTCTCCTTTCACTAGCCTCATCCAGCCTTAGGCTGAAAACAAACCAAAACCAGCCTCACAGCTGCAAGATAAACCCCGTCCACGGCGTTCACGTGTCCTGCCTCATCCAGTCCTGTGTCAGGAGGGTAAAAGTAGTTCCCAGGGTTCAAATGCCCTGTACCATAAAAGAAGGAATTGTTTGTTTATTACCAATTTTTGATTTGTGATAGCACAACTTGTTCAGTGGCCAAAAGTTGCTCTCAGGTACAGTACGTTTTGGTAAATTTCCTTTGAATGGAGCCTCCTTTCTAGTGCTTTCAGGCTTGCAAGATATCTCTAGAAAACTTACTGCTATGGAACACGAGGCTGTATAAATGGAGTGGGGTGAGGGCTAGGCCTGTGGTTTCCTTTTTGATTAATGGCTGTAACCCTGTCCTTCCAGTGGCTGAGGGAGAGTTGCACTTTTTCTTTTTCTTTTCTTTTTTTTTTTTTTAAA